AAAGGCCGAAACGTTGTAATGAATATGGTGACAAATATGAGAACAATAGTCCGAATAATGTAAATAATGTACATAATACTCCATTTCAGAAATATAGACAGATTCTGAAATGCCGAAATGTTGTAATAAATATGGCAACAAAGATAAGAACAATAGTCCGAATAATGTAAAAAATGTACATAATACCTCATCTCAGAAATATAGACAGATACTGAAAGGCCGAAACGTTGTAATAAATATGGTGACAAATATGAGAAAATTAGTCCGAATAATGTAAATAATATACATAATACCTCATCTCAGAAATATAGACAGATACTGAAAGGCTGAAACGTTGCAATAAATATGGTAACAAAGATGGGAACAATTGTCCGAATAATGTAAATAATGTACATAATACCTCATCTCAGAAATATAGACATATGCTGAAAGGCCGAAAAGTTGTAATAAATATGGCAACAAAGATGAGAACAATAGTCCGAATAATGTAAAAAATGTACATAATACCTCATCTCAGAAATATAGACAGATACTGAAAGGCCGAAACAGTGTAATAAATATGGTGACAAATATGAGAAAATTAGTCCGAATAATGTAAATAATATACATAATACATCATCTCAGAAATATAGACAGATACTGAAAGGCTGAAACGTTGCAATAAATATGGTAACAAAGATGGGAACAATTGTCCGAATAATGTAAATAATGTACATAATACCTCATCTCAGAAATATAGACATATGCTGAAAGGCCGAAAAGTTGTAATAAATATGGCAACAAAGATGAGAACAATAGTCCGAATAATGTAAAAAATGTACATAATACCTCATCTCAGAAATATAGACAGATACTGAAAGGCCGAAACAGTGTAATAAATATGGTGACAAATATGAAAAATTAGTCCGAATAATGTAAATAATATACATAATACATCATCTCAGAAATATAGACAGATACTGAAAGGCTGAAACGTTGCAATAAATATGGTAACAAAGATGGGAACAATTGTCCGAATAATGTAAATAATGTACATAATACCTCATCTCAGAAATATAGACATATGCTGAAAGGCCGAAAAGTTGTAATAAATATGGCAACAAAGATGAGAACAATAGTCCGAATAATGTAAAAAATGTACATAATACCTCATCTCAGAAATATAGACAGATACTGAAAGGCCGAAACGTTGCAATAAATATGGTAACAAATATGAGAACAATAGTCTGAATAATGTAAATAATGTACATAATACCTCATCTCAGAAATATAGAGAGATACAGAAAGGCCGAAACGTTGTAATAAATATGGCGACAAAGATGAGGACAATAGTCCGAATAATGTAAATAATGTACATAATACCCCATCTCAGAAATATAGATAGATACTGAAAGGCCGAAACGTTGTAATAAATATGGGGACAAAGATGAGGACAATAGTCCGAATAATGTAAATAATGTACATAATACCTCATCTCAGAAATATAGACAGATACTGAAAGGCCGAAACGTTGTAATAAATATGGTAATAATGATGAGGACAATAGTCCGAATAATGTAAATAGTGTACATAATACCTCATCTCAGAAATATAGACAGATACTGAAAGGCCGAAACGTTGTAATAAATATGGTGACAATTATGAGAACAATAGCCCGAATAATGTAAATAATGTACATAATACCTCATCTCAGAAATATAGACAGATACTGAAAGGCCGAAACGTTGTAATAAATATGGTAATAATGATGAGGACAATAGTCCGAATAATGTAAATAGTGTACATAATACCTCATCTCAGAAATATAGACAGATACTGAAAGGCCGAAACGTTGTAATAAATATGGTAATAATGATCATCGAATAATGTAAATATAGATACCTCATCTCAGAAATATAGACAGATACTGAAAGGCCGAAACGTTGTAATAAATATGGTGTACATAATTCATCTCAGAAATATAGACAGAACTGAAAGGCCGAAACGTTGTAATAAAATGACAAATGAACAATAGCCCGAATAATAAATAATGTACATAATACCTCATCTCAGAAATATAGACAGATACTGAAAGGCCGAAACGTTGTAATAAATATGGTAATAATGATGAGGACAATAGTCCGAATAATGTAAATAGTGTACATAATACCTCATCTCAGAAATATAGAGAGATACTGAAAGGCCGAAACGTTGTAATAAATATGGTAATAATGATGAGGACAATAGTCCGAATAATGTAAATAGTGTACATAATACCTCATCTCAGAAATATAGACAGATACTGAAAGGCCGAAACGTTGTAATTAATATGGCGACAAAGATGAGGACAATAGTCCGAATAATGTAAATAGTGTACTTAATACCTCATCTCAGAAATATAGACAGATACTGAAAGGCCGAAACGTTGTAATAAATATGGTAATAATGATGAGGACAATAGTCCGAATAATGTAAATAGTGTACATAATACCTCATCTCAGAAATATAGACAGATACTGAAAGTCCGAAACGTTGTAATAAATATGGTAATAAATAGTGTACATAATACCTCATCTCAGAAATATAGACAGATACTGAAAAAAACGTTGTAATAAATATGGTAATAATGATGAGGACAATAGTCCGAATAATGTAAATAGTGTACATAATACCTCATCAGAAAATAGATCCGAATAATGTAATAATGATGAGGACAATAAATAAGTGTACATAATACCTCATCTCAGAAATATAGACAGATACTGAAAGGCCGAAACGTTGTAATAAATATGAGGACAATAGTAATAATGATGAGGACAATAGTCCGAAAATAATGTAAAAAGGCCGAAAGTTGTACATAATACCTCATCTGAGAAATATCTCAGAAATATAGACAGATACTGAAAGGCCGAAACGTTGTAATAAATATGGTAATAATGATGAGGACAATAGTCCGAATAATGTAAATAGTGTACATAATACCTCATCTCAGAAATATAGACAGATAGAAAGGCCGAAACATGGTATACTGAGGACAAAGTCCGAATAAACGTTACCTCATCTCAGAAATATAGACAGAATTGAAAGGCCGAAACGGTAATAAACAAAGATGAGGACAATAGTCAGAAATATAGACGAATGAAAGGCCAAAATGTAATAAATAAATAAGTGAGGACAATAGTCCGAATAATGTAAATAGTGTACATAATACCTCATCTCAGAAATATAGACAGATACTGAAAGGCCGAAACGTTAAATAATAAATATGAGGTAATAATGATGAGGACAATAGTCCGAATAATGTAAAATAATGATGAGGTGAATAATGTAAACATAATACCTCATCTCAGAAATATAGACAGATACTGAAAGGCCGAAACGTTGTAATAAATATGGTAATAATGATGAGGACAATAGTCCGAATAATGTAAATAGTGTACATAATACCTCATCTCAGAAATATAGACAGATACTGAAAGGAAAGGTTGAAACGTTGTAATAAATGAGGACAATGGTCCGAATAATGTAAATAGTGGACAATAGTCTCGAATAATGTAAATAATAAATATGGTAACATAATAGTCCGAATAATCATCTCATAAAATCTAGAAATATAGATACTGAAAGGCCGAAAAGTTGTAATTAATATGGCGACAAAGATGAGGACAATAGTTCGAATAATGCAAATAGTGTACATAATACCTCATCTCAGAAATATAGACAGGCATTTGTATCTCTTTTCTTCTTAAAATAACGTCCAGCTTTCATACTTATGACGGTTATTACAATATTGTGTTAAAGTTGAGCTCAAATCTTTAACGATATGATAGGGAAATTTCTAGTTTATTGTCGTAGAACTGATCATGAATTGTCATTCAATCATTAACTGAAAAATTAAAATTCATCAGAAATTTAAGATGGGAAAACCAGTGGTAATAATTTTAAGGTTGAAGCTTTATACTACATCACCGGTGACATACTTCATTCTACACGCCATTAAGTTTAGCAATCATTCTGCATGCTGTAATCGCCACGCCTCTCTCTCCTCGGATCACCTACCATAATTCAAAATTATAAATCTAATTTCGAAGACTCAGTAAAATTAAATTCAGTCCTCAGATATTTATTTTATTCTAAATAAATATTTATTTTTAATTTATTAACCGCTCAATTTAAAAACAAAATCTCATTCACGACAGCGTTTCTATATAGCAAAATTGTTATGGTAAGGATTTTTCGTTATTTCTCATACCTAGATTATTCTTATTCAATGAACAAAAAATATTGAACATACAAATTTGTCTATATTTCTGTGATGAAGTATTATGTACACTAGAACAGAAATATTGATTGTATGACTTATAATTACAAGAGTTCCGAAACTTTTCAACATTCAGCTTTAATCTGCTGAGCTTTCTACTTTGGTGTATACAAAGATGAATGACATGTTTCAGTATCCATCTATATTTCTGTGAAGTATTATGTACACTATTTACATTATCGGACTATTGTCCTCATCTTTGTCACCATGTTTATCACAGCGTTTTATCAGGTGCTTTGAATGTCGAACTGAACCCTTTATTTCGCTCACTGGGGTAGACTGTTCTAGTTCCACCTGCCATGTTTGATGGATGTCAGTTATCAGTTATCTCCCGTTTATTTCCATCTGAAAGTTCTCCGCTGCATTAACCGGGTATTGAACTCACACTCTTTGGGTTCTTTCACAGGATCTAACCAACGCCTTTATCCACTGTGCCATGTGTCTTCAATACACAGTTAAAACAATGGAGAAAGCTACTTTGGGGAACAAACTCCCGTAGATGTGTTTCCTCGAGCGCTACAATCTTAACCTGTTCAAATCTAGTCTCAATCGATATCTATCCTTATAACCTTCACTTCCTACTTCTTCTTCTTCTTAGGACCATACTACACATCATTCATTAATGCTCTACCTTGAGTGGCTCTTGTACATTGTATTTGATGAATATTAGTAAAACAATTAAGATGATCTGGTTAAGGCTTATGGTCATATCATGTTGAAACACTTGTCCCTTTTACGATCACCGAAGTTAAGTAACGTCGAACCAGGTCAGTACCTAGATGAGTGAACGCTTGGGAATACCAGGTACTGTAAGTTTGGATGTGTAGTTGGTGTAATGGATAATGAATCGGAATTGTTAATCGAAGAGCCGAGTTCCAATTCCTGTTGGGTTCGATATATTCACTTATGCCTCAAGTAGCATTATAAACCTACTGTTTTTCTCCAGTTATGGGTTAATTAGTAATACTTGTATCGCTAAATCATTATTATTTTCCAAAAAATCTTCTTACAACCTAAAAAGAAATATTTTCTGGCTTTAAATAACCTGTAAAAATGGTTGATAATCCATGAAAAACGAATCATTCATTGATATGGTTAATTAATACTTGAAATGTATAAACTATTAAAGCGAATTTGCCACATACGAAAATCAATGTAATTCTAATGCCTCTCGCTAGAATCAAAAGTTATTTTATTTTACTTTATTTTGTTTATTTATTTCAATATCTTTCCAAACATCTTCGTGACACAATTTTTTTTCCGTCAAATGTATACATAAAGTATATGAAAAATGGCGGACAAACGAACTTGTCTGTCGGAACTGAGTCTTATTGGAGTCATCGATATTTTCTTTTTCAGTTTTCTCCTTTGTTTGGTTTGAGTTATTTCATTATAATTTTCGGAACGTCATGTTTGACAAAAATAAAAGAAAATTAAACGTACAGGAAAAGAAACAAACAAACCAGAACCTAAAAAAAAAAGAATATACTGGAAAATAAGCGAAAATGAAAAACATCGCTTGCAAAAGTGAAAAGCGACTTGATAAGAGAGGAAAAGCCTAGATAAGTATCTCAAAAAATAACACAGGTTTTTCGTCCCGAATAAACATCTTCAAACAAAAACCATGAATTTATTCATTTTTAATCAAATTATTCATCTCATAATTTCATAATAGAATAACGGAATTTACTTGCAGTGCAGATGTAATGATAATAATAGACTTTATCCATGTTTGTAATGATAATAATACACCTCTATCCATGTTTGTAATGATAATAATAGCCTTTTTCCTACAAAGAAACATTAGGCATACATTGACCGAGCAGCCAGTACTACATTCGGCTTAAATTTATTAAATATTTCTCTTAAAACAATTTTTCAGGAAAGCAGGTTTCCTAAGTCCAGTAACTGTTATCGCTCCTTTCAGTATTGATGGGAGTTTCTTTCTTAACCTTCTATTTGAAAGTAGTGTGGAATGTCATCATCTTATGGCATTATTTTCTCTTCGAGTCCTTGCTACTGTTGGTAGACCTCAAGTGATGTGGTTCCTGATATTTGGTACGGATCTTTGTTAGAGATTCTGTGACGCCAGTCTACAATGTTGAAAGAAGGATAATCTTTGCCAAGACCAATATTTTAAAGTTCTATTTAAAATTGTAGTTAAAACGAATTCTAACCTAAACATCTTTTAAAATTGTAGTTAAAGAAAATGTATTCTAACCTAAACACCTCTCAAAAAGTACTACCGACACTTAAATGTATCCAGTAGAACACCTTTCAACAGCGCTATTTTCAACGACTTTGAAAAATAACGGGATTTACAGATGGGCCAATAAATTATTCTTAAATTTCACAGCAAAGATAAACGAATGTAAACTTTTAATTTTTTTATGACAATTATTTTTGTTACTAGGACTAGTGATGGGGAAAAAAAAAAAAAAAAAAAAAATTAATATAAATACTCTCTAGTGTAGTGATGTTTTGTTTCGTTGAGCGGCTGTTTTTTTTTTTTTTTTTAACATATGAAATTTTGTTATTTTTACTACTTTAGCGTAAGCATGAATTTTTTCTTTTTATTATTATTATTTAATTTATTTGGTTCTCCTTTAAATAATACTGATAGATTAATCAATTATTTAATTTTTCTCATTCACATATCCCTTAGTTTTCAATATCCACCCCGCAAAAAAACATTACAGGTAAAACAATATAATTTCTACGATGTTCTTTCTTGGAAGGATTGCATTTTTTTTTTTTTTTTTTTTTTTTTTTTAAAACAACGCTATTTTCAACGACTTTAAAAAATAACGGAATTTACATTTACATATTACATTTTATGAATTTATGAAAAAAAATGCAATCTTTCTAAGAAGGAATATCGTGGAATTTACAGATGGGCCAATAAATTATTTTTAAATTTCACAGCAAAGACAAACGAATGTAAACTTTTTTCTTTTTCATTTTTTTTTTTTTTTTAAACAACGCTATTTTCAACGACTTTTAAAAAATAACGGAATTTACATTTACATATTACATTTTATGAATTTATGAAAAGAAAATGCAATCTTTCTAAGAAGGAATATCGTGGAATTTACAGATGGGCCAATAAATTATTTTTAAATTTCACAGCAAAGACAAACGAATGTAAAATTTTTTTTTTTTTTTTTTTTTTAACCAGCGTCATTCTCTTTGATTTCCAATCGTGTCTCTGTCTATTGTTGCTTGGCAACCCATTTAGGAGAAGGAAAACTCCGAACAACAACCCGCAACTCAAGGTGTTAATCGTGCCGAGGAGTGAATGGCTACTGCGTTATGAGGTCGCGAACGATCCCCTACAGGCTTCGGAAACCTGTCTGTAAAAGACCGTTACTCAACGTGCCGGGCAACTTTGGGTGGACTTTTGGACCCGTGCGTCACTCGTGGGATTAATATGAAAATTAAAAATAGAAACAAAACGTCCAGTATGGCTCTTCCAGTGGATAAACAGGGGAGCCCGTCCTTCAGGAGGGAACCTACCTGAGGTCGAAAAAAAATCTGCCATAGGAACAAACTCCTACACAAAGAATGAATCTTCAGGTCCCCCACAACCAGGATAATCCCTAATGATGGTCCTGTAAATTCTCCAGCTAGATCCATAACCGTAAATTTAAAGGAAAAAAAAAATAAAATGGTCTCGTGAGGAGTACAAAGTTGTTATGACTGCATTCCATGAAGCGTTACTCAAACCTCAGAAAAACATCACTCGCCAAACATATGACATTTGGCGAGAGAAGGTTGGGCAAACAATTAGAAAGTACATAGACAAAAATAAACTAGCCAATGTAAGAAGGGACATCATGCGAAATAACCGATTGACAGAGGCTGAAATTAATGAAATAAAAAGAATTGCAGCAAGAATAGATGAACCAACAAAACATGAAAAGGAACCGGAATCGGAAAACAAAGTAGTAACATCACACAAGCCTCAGGTCATAATGAAAAAACCGAAATACACAAATCACTGTGAAGATAATGCTGAAAATTTAGAAATGTTGGAAAGGTATGATCTTAGTCAGTCACAAGACGGTAATAAAACGAGTTCAAAATTCATCGAACAGAATTATTTCACGGAAAACAAGATTAATATACAAGAAGCCAAGGATGAAATCATGAGCCATATAAGTCAGATACAGAATATTGCAATGGAGGAACGAGAACAACTCCCAAAATTACAACCAACAAAAGCATAACCTCAAAACTATTAAGCTCTATAATGCAGCACTCAAATTGATTCTGGATGAAGAAGACACTCATATAAATCTCAATGAAGCAATATATGCATCAGCAATAGCAGCAACAAATAAACTGAACATCAAAGTAAAAAAAAGGCAGTCTCACAGACATGAAGATCCACCTTGGAAAAGAAAAATAGAAAAGAAATTGAACACCTTAGAAGTGAATTATCAGTACTCGATGAACTAGCAAGAGGAGGTAAATGTAAGAACTAGAAAAGGCAGAAGAGTCGAAAGAAAATACAATATCAGGGAATGAAAATGAAGTCCTATCAACTAAAGAAAAAATAAAGCAAACAATACAACTGAAGGCTCAAAGAATAAGACGCTACGAGAAAAGATCAAGATTCTATAGACAGAACAAGATCTTTCAAACCGATGCAAAGAAATTTTACAGGGAAATAGGTAAACAAAGAATTGAAGTGACAGTCCCCCTAAAATGGAAGAAGTTATACAGTTCTGGGGAAAAATATGGGCTTGCCTAAAAGAACACAACGAAGAGGCAGATTGGATTGCGCAAGAGTTAGAACGAATGAAAAATAAACCAGAACAGACATGGGCGGGAATCACAGAAGAAGATGTTAAATGTGCACTGAAAAAAAAAACAACTGGAAATCTCCAGGAATAGATAAAATTCCTAACTCTGGCTATATTATTTAAATACAGCAAAAAAAACTCCCAAAGAACTTCAAAAATGGTTATGATCCAACTAAAATTCCTGCATGGATGACCAAAGGAGTTACCTTTCTTCTACCCAAAAATAGTGACACAAATATTCCGAAAAACTATAGACCAATTACATGTCTTCCAACAACATACAAACTGTTAACATCTATTTTAACAAAACAGACATATTTCTTCTTGGAAAGAAATGACATACTACCACTTGAACAAAAAAAGGTGCAAACGAGGCTGCTACGGATGTAAAGACCAATTACTTATTAATAGGATGATCTAGAAAACTGCTTCCGTGGAAAAAAAATCTTAGTATTGCCTGGATAGATTATCGTAAAGCATTCGATAGTGTACCACATTCCTGGATCTTAAAAGTCTTTAAGTATGTACAAAGGTATCACCCGTTATCATCAATTTCATCAAACAATGTATGTCGATATGGAAAACTACACTTTACCTCAATCATAAAAATGGAACCTATAAGTCTGGCAGAAATAAACATCAATAGAGGAATATTTCAAGGTGACTCTTTGTCTCCTTTATTATTTTGCATATCACTTATAGCATTAACCAGCCAACTTAACAAGACAGAATGCGGTTACAAAATAGCTCAAAAGAAAATAAACCATCTATTTTACATGGATGACTTAAATTGTATGCTAGGAATGACAATGAGCTGGAAGGTCTTCTGCAAACTGTAAAATGCTTCAGTGAAGACATTGGAATGAAATTCAATTTGGATAAATGTGCTAAAGCTACAGTTTTACGAGGATCCCTACAACAAACTTCCTCTATTAGTTTAGACCCTGCTGTAACAATAAAAGATTTAGAACAAGGAGAAGCTTATAAGTACCTAGGTGTAAATGA